TGGGCCAGTGATTAGCTGGATACCAATTTTCACTTCGCAGCTGAGACCAAGGAAGCACTCACCACAGCTATGAAACTGAAATTGGAATGGAGATCTGCAAGAGGGAGAAACCAGCAGTGGCAGGAGGAGCAGCACCATCCCACCACTGTACCTCAGACCACTGGTGTTCTCCCAGCAATGCAGAACCAGCAGGATGGGGAGGGAGGACTGGTCCCCTTGCAGAAGAATGGGGCCTTTCTGCTTTCCAGTCTAGAAGAGGGGAGGTGGCCAAGTGAAGATAAGTGAAATAATCAACAAAGTGATTTCTTCACATGCAAAGGAAATCCAAACTTTCAGGAACTCCACAATTTATGGAAAGAAAAGGCAGAACTTCAGGCCAAGTGCTAAGGATTTACCTGGATACAGAAATTAAACTGCTCTGAAAAGTTTAGCTTAAACTTTAGCAGGCCCCCATGCAAACACATTTTGATTGATAGAAAATGAGCAGTATCAATAAGGAACAGAAAATGAATCAAAAGAAATCACATTTCAGCTAATACAAGAATATTCTCAGAGTTGTACCAGATGAAAAGACAAATCTGTAGTTCAGCTCAGGTAAATGTGAACAATACCTGGATAGTGAGAAGTCCACGCTGCCCAGGTAAATTTCTCATTACGGACTCGGGTAGGAGACAACACTTTACATATGATTGAAGCCTATGTCTCAGCAAACTACAAACTACAGACCACCTGCATGGTTCTTCCCTTCCCAACTGCATAGGTGCCCAGATTTAATCCTGTTCTTGCAGCACCTCTACGGAATTGAGAGCTCTGTCATGCTAAGAGCCACACAAATATTTGCCCAAGAAACTTCCAGTGTCAAGTGGACAAGACAAGGCACAGTTGGAAATTCCATTTTACAGATAAAGAAAAGGAAAATAAATTAAATTTAAAAGTCTGCTCAAAATCCCATGAAAAACCTGGTGGAGGTCTGATGGAGAATATGGATCTCACAAGCAGTCACAGCACTGCACTGATCTAAGGTGCTCTCCTGCTGACCAGCACACAGCTCTTACCTGTGAAACACTGAATGCAAAGATTCAAGCTTCAGGAAGAAACCTTCCTTCTCTAATGAGTGCAACGTTAGCAGCCAAGGGTAGTTCCACACTTCATGGTGAGATACATCCACACAAAGCACCTCAGGTCCAAGAAGAGTCTACCACATCTGGGCACTGCCACACTCACACCATCCATCAGCTGACCTTCATGTGCCTCCACTTCTGGGATTAGCTACACACAAAGCCAACAAGGCACAGCTATCTGCACCCTGTTATGTACAGCTGGAGCCCACTGCATCAGGAACAAAATTCTGCAGCCTTCCTGCTGCTCACAACTCCTCTCCCCAGGACCAGGTGTATGAATTCTCATTTCTCCTTCTTGCCACCCAGAAGTGACACCACTCTGAGGTCTTAATTATTTGAAACTGAGCACTAACTCCTGCCATAATCTGACAACTCCACAGCCACCCAGGGGAACCTCAGTTCACATTTCCAAGGAGATGTAAACACTGAAGCTGCTCCATCACATCTCTGATTCTCAGAGCAAACAAATATTAACAAGATAAACAAAAGAATGAAAAATCCCACACACCAAGACTGAGGCTGTAATACTGCCTTGGGGATGGGGTGAGCTGAAGGGAATACCAGACTGGAGATCCACAGCCTGGAAAAAAGGAGGAAGAGTGAGAAAGATTCAGACTGGGCAGAGGTGAGAGGAAACATTAGACATCCTGCTCCAGCTGGCTCTGGAAGGTGAGATGCCTCTGTTCCTAATAACAGATGAGAGAAAAAGCTTGGTTTATGCCAAACCTGCAGAAGGCCCAAAGCTGAACCATGGGACCTGCAGGCCTCCTCCTCATTGATCAGCTGCCCTAAGGTCATCTACTTCATCTCTTATTGAGGGGGCTTTAACTTGGGTCCTACTCCTGGACACTGCCCAGCTGACAGCAGCCCAGCACAAGCCAGGCAGAAGGCAACCTGAGGGAATCCCCTCAGGGAAGGAGCTGAGAGGAATATGTGTGTGAGAGAGAAACACTTTTCCCTGTCACACAGCTTCTGAATGCCACCATTGTTAACCTCCTTCTAGTTTTCACTAATTGCCCGTGCATTTATACTCAAGCAGCCGAGGTGCCTCCTGCCCTTCTCTGATTCTCCGGCAGGCCAATGGCTCGCTTTCTCATGAACATCAGTTACTAGCGACCATGAAATTTTTCAGCTGGACTTGATGATCTTATAGGTCTTTTCAAGCGAAAGTGATCCTTTGATTCTATTTTGTGTGCTGCCTGGGGCTTCAGGGCTTCTCAGAGACAAGGCTGCAGCTGGCCTGCTCTGATTGTTCCCACCATGTTCCAGCCAACCACCAGCACGTTCTTCAGCTCTCTGGAAAGCAGTAGAGACATCTTTCCTGATGAACCATGGTGACACCACAAGAGGCTTGCTCTCTCTGTCACACTCCAGGCCTTGCACATGCTGCTCCAACTGCACAGCTCATTGCCCAGGACCTCTCCAAGGAACAGGCTGCCCACAAACAGCCCCCGACCCCCTCTCAGCTGCATCTTCCCTTCCAGAGCAGTTTATGCTTCCCAAACAAATAAGCTCAACTGGTCACAACAAAAATCTCATCCCATGCATTTCTGACACAACTGATCTTGTGGTGTCTTATGAGTGATTTTCCCCTCTCCCTGCTATCACTCCCTATGCTGCTTTATTGTTGAGTTTTGTTAATCTATAAACCACCTCCTCTTGTAGAACCTTAAAGAGATAGAGGAGGATGAAAAGGCACAGCACAAAACTTCACTGCCACCAGACCCTTCTTCCCAATGCAAGACGCTGCTATTTATTACTATGTTTATAGTTGCACACTCTCCCACCCACATGGCAATGTTTCATTCAAGACAAGTTTGAATTCACTTCAAGAACAACATTTCAAAGGACCCCAAAGCATTTGTTTACAAACAGCATGCATGGAGAATTCACTTCTCCCACCAATGAACATGGTCCTCTCCGAGACAGGGAGAGGCAGCTGTTTCATAGCACCCAGTGTTACTCAACAGCTGAGGGACAGGAAACAATCCACGGACAACTGATATTGCTGAGGAAATTTATGGAAAATGAGGGCTGGACACTTCTGTTTGCCAGGAGAGAACAGGAAAGCTTCTGAGGACTAAAGCCCTCCACTGGGTCAGGAAGAATTTAAGGGAGGCAAAGAGTCCTAGACTGTGGTCAAAGCAGCAACTCCAAATTTCAAGCCTCATCTGAAAGCTGGCACCTCCCAAACTAACGGGACCCTGGGCACTGGGATAATTTGGCTGAGGAGGGGAGAGCACCCCCTGCTGAGGCAGCCACACAGACCTCATCTAAGCCCCAAAGAGGCCCAGCCCTGTTCAACATGGAGTACAAGCCAAAATCACAGCCTAGAGAGGAATTTGGTGCAGTGAGAAGACACTGGGAAGACTGTAAAACTGAAAACACTTTGCAATCCCAGCTCCATACACAAGACCCACTGTAAACACTAAATCTTCAGAGGAAGAAGGATCATACAACTCCTGCAAACACGGAAGTCCCAGGAATGCTAAAGGGTCACATGTGGAAACCAAGAGGGTCCCAGGATGGAAAAAGAAGTCCTCAAAAAGGCTAAAGGAAAGTCACAAGTAGGAAATCTGGACAAAACAGACGACAGTCTTTCAGGGAACTGGCTTTACATGGTACTTGCTCCCTAGAACAGCAACAAATTTTACACAGGTAGGAGAAGGCAAAGGATCCCTAGATCGGTGAGTACAACATCCAAACAAGGGACAGGACACACCTCCTCACCTCCAAAGAGCCACCTATGATGGGAGGAACCAAAGGGCATCACAAAACAAGTGATGGAAACACCAGTGTTGGAAGAGAGTTGCCCTGCAGGAGATGGGATATGAGGCAGGGCTGCACCTCTCTTCCATACCAGAGATTGAGAATGGGACATCTCACTTTAAGGATGGGACATGTATATGGGTACAGTGGGTCTTACCCCTTGCTCAGAGATGGGCAGCACGTGGAGAGCTCTCACTCCTTCTCCATGGAGGCAGGGGAGGAGAAAGTTGGTCCTCTCTATGCATTCTTCCAAAAAATGAGATGCAGAGGACAAAGCTGCCAAAATGGATGTCCCTCCCCAAAATGGATGGTAGGAAAATAAAACTGTCCCCAAATTCATTTAGTGGAAAGGGTTGATGGAGGTGGCACTACCTCCACACCCTTTTGGAGGAGGGAACAAGGGGCACTTGCTCCAGCCACAGTAGGAGATGCCCAGGCCCTTTTGGTGGGGAATAATGGTCCAGAGTAGGATACAACCTGGGGACGCCACCCTAGACACCCCAATGTGGGCTGCATGGGAGATACCACCTCAGGCAACGTGTTGGCCAAATATCCTGAGTATGGGGAGGGGGTGACCCTTAGATGGGGATGATGGTCTCCTCCAAGGTACCTCTGGCACCTAAAGCAAGGTATCACCAGCTCCCTCACTGAGAAGTTAGCATGGGGCAGCTTCCCCAGAGCTGATGAGGGATCCGAGGATGTGGGGCTGTCCCCGGAGGCAGGACCCAGGGACAAGGAACCCCAGAGAATGTACACAGAGGGGATATCACCACGAGCCTCCCACAGGTCAGGTCCTGGGGTGTACGGAGGGTGTGTCCCCCCCAGACAAAACCCAAGGGTCCCCATCCCCATCCTCTTCAAGGCAATGGGGATAGGGTATGGATCAGGGTCCCCCTCCCCGTGCCGGGCACAAGAGGGGCGCCTCCCCGCCCCAGGGGCCCCGGCCCCGCCGTCCCGGGGGCGCTCCCGCGGCCGAGGGGACGGCTAGCCCCGGCCCCAGCCCCGTGAGGGGCGGAGTTCCCCGGCCGCCCCCCACTGCTCCCCGGGGAGGCCCACGGGGCCCGGGCTCCACGCGTGGCCCCGGGGGACCGGGCCCGGGCCCGCGCTCACCCGAAGTCGTCGTCCATGGACTTGAAGTAGAACTTGTAGTTGGGACGATTGAGGAGCCCCTTGAAGTCGCCGAGGGTGACGCGCTCGGCCGGGATCGGCAGCTTCACCAGGTACGGCGTCTCCTGCTCGTCCAGGTGGTAAATGATCTTCGTCTCGGCCGCCGCCATGGCGCCCCTGCCCGGCCGCCAGGCCCCCGCCTCTGCCTCCGCCGCCTCCTCCGCCCCGGCCTGGACCCCCAGACGCGGCCCGGCCCCCGCCTGCACCCTGGCCCGGCTGCGGCCTCCGCACGCCCGGTCCCCCCGCGCCCCTTGTTCTCCGGGTCCCAGCGCCGCCCGGCTGCACGGCGCAGGCTCGGCCTCGGCCGGCCCCGCCCCGCCCTCCGTCCCGGCCCCGCCGGAACCGGAACCGGCGCCCCGTGGGGCCGCGGCACGGAGCGGGACCGGGCTCAGCTTGGGCCCAGATTCCGCCACGATGCTGGCCCGCACCCTGCCCCCGAGCCAGATCCCGCATCGATAGGAGACCTCCCCCCCCGCCCCCCTTTGGCTGGAACGGACCCTCTCATATGGACCTGACCCCCTAGGCACCCATCCCCCCGCGCTGCTGCTGTGCTCCATGTGGGTGCATGGCCCCTGGGACTGTGCACTCCAGCCCCAACCCCCCTGGGTGCACTGGAATTTATACTTTGTATCAACATCCCCCTGTCCACAGCCTGGTACTCCCCAGATGGGAATATACCTCTCCCAGGCTCCCCATTCAGCTTTCACACCCTCTTTACACCCTCTGATATTGCTTCACACACAGGGTCATTCCTTATCTCACAATCTCTGCTTCCGTCCACATCCCAGGCCTCCTATCTCTGCAGCCCTCGTCCTTTATCCCATACCAGCCTTCCCCATGCTCCTCATATGGCTATGTGCCCCATGAGTACAGCTTACAAAACATCAGGCATATCCATCTCTACCCTATCCTCCTATGTACAGACCCCTTTGAGCTCCCCGTGCTGTGGCTCAGATGGCCACCATACACAGGGACTACCATCCACCCCAGCTCCTCTCCAGCTGAGGCTTCCCTCTGAACCCCTTGTCACCACTCAACAACTAACCCCAGTACTCAGATCTTTTCCTCACCAAGCAGTCTCTTTCCTCTGCTCTTCATGAACATCCTCTGTTCCACACGACTTCTTCAACAGAGCACCCTTTGGCTGTGTGGTTTCTTCCCATCCTCTATTTCCCCGGACCCCAGCACATTCTTACCTATACTCATCAGCATTGTGACCCCGGGCCCTAGGACTTGCCTCTGTTCCACAGCAGTCTCAGGCTGTCTGGTTTCCCCTCTGCACACCTTACCAGCACCCAGTGGGCACCAAGGAACCATCTCCATCAGCAGTTTCCTGGAGCTGTGGCTGAGAGCAAAGCTGGCGTGGATGGAGTCTTGGGAACACCCACCAACAGGAAGGGCAAGAACCGCCTTGCACCATCCTGGATTAGAAGGAACAAATGCAGAGGAAGCACCACACCACAGGCCTGCACAAGGCATGAGACTAGATGAGCCCTCAGACTAGACTCCCCTGCTGTAGGAAAAGGAGACAGAGAGATCCTGAGGGAACAGAGCTAAGTTCCTCAGGCAGGCAGGCAGGCTGAGCTAAATGAGCTTCCTAATGCATTAAAGAGTTCTGCAGGCATTGCTAGTAATTACCTGGGCAGCACTGCTAGACTGGAGGAAGAACCTGACATTAAACTGAAAAAAGAATAAAAATTCAAGGGAAGTCCTCAGGTAAGCAGAAGTTGTAAGAGGTCTGAGACTCTCCCATGTTTCCACATCAGCTTTTGGAAGACTGTAATTTCCTTATGTTATGGAGCTCCTTATGTTAGGAGCTCTGTGGTAAAAGCTAGTGTATCTGGAATGAAGAATCCAGGTCAGAAGTGGAAAAGTTTAGTTTAAGTTGCTTCTTCCTCTGTCGATCCTGACAGAACCAATCTTAAAGTCTTTTTGCAACACCTCCCTGCCCCAAAAGCAGGTACATGTGAAAGAATCCTAGTCTGGTATCCTGGCAGGGCCACTATCTCACCCACCTCCCAGCACAGCTGTGGATGCATCTTGGAGCCTGTATCGTTCACATGAGACACCTTTGTTACCGAATGGGCAATTATCAGTAGTGCTGAGCTCCCAAGGGAGCACATGCAGCTCAGGGGAGGGGTGCCACACCCTCCAGGGTGGTAGTAGATGCAATCTCATTGCTACAGCTGCCTTTTCTTTTAAAACAGGCCAAGTGACTGAATAAACTCAATGAAAGATCAGTTTCACTGCTCACAGAGGCCTTGTGCTGTATGACTCACTGAATGGAAGTTAAGAACACAGTGCCAAAGAAATCAGGAGGAGGGGATTGTGCTGTGCACTCCAAGGTCCACAAGGAAGAGTTTCTGAACTGCCTGTTGGCTTATTTTTGCAATTATTGAAACTTTAAAATTGCGGTATTGATAACATTGCTTCTCCTTACAGAGTACACAGGCTTCAGACATTTTAGCACATCTTGGAACAGCCCAAAGCAGAGGTGGATGTACTTGAGTTCCATCACTTACACCTTTAAGCAACACCAGACTACTATCTTCTTTTAAAAGGGTTACTACTGTTAACTGAAGTTATGGGTTTGATACAGGACACCAGGTTTCATCCATCCGTCCATCCATGTCAGATGGGAAGTCAGACAAGTTGATTATTATAGCCTTAGGAAAATAAAGTACTTACTGCTTACATTGCTCAGAGATGGGTAGCAATGATTCCACAGTCAAGATTGCTCTCAAAGGCATTTCTAGTCTTCCAACCAAAAAAACATCTTGACTGAAGCAAAAAGAAAGCATCAAGCCCACCCTACACTCCAGCAACGGAATAAATGCTCCTTTAAAAAGTACAACACGGATCACTACATAAGGATGCTGCACCATGCCAGAAGTCCACCTTGGAGAGTATCAGGTGTCCTAATTTGTTTTCTTTTTGCTACTCTGTTCTTGGCATCTGTAAAAGTACCCCATCACACACACCACCAAGGCCTGAAGGATGTGGCAACAGAGCAACATTCTCCCCTTGGATTTTAACTCCCAGGTAAAAAAAGCAGCTCGTACCACGGAGTTGGAGCAAAGGAAGAAGGAATGTGGAAAAAACAAAGGTGGAATTGTTACTTGGCAGAAGTAATCACGAACTTTTGGCAAAACTGAGCTATTTACAGCACCACATGTTAAATTTATTCTTAAGCCATCTTTACCCTGTAAAAGGAAAAAAAATACTTGAGATGTCCAAGGAGATTTTAAAATTACCAAGTCTTGCAGCTGATTTGTAAATGGTTTTACTAAGGGCTCTCTAGATGTCCTTCTCTGCCTCTGCCAGTTCCTGCTTCCTGGCTTCAGGAGGGCACAATGCAGGACGTGTCAGCCAACATTCCCATCAATTACCACAGTGACAAATGACAACAGATTTCTTTGGATTTAAGGTTCACCTTTGCAACATAATTCTGTACAAAACCAAATCTCACCCACTTCAGGATTCCAAGTGCAGAGGTTTTAATGAATTGTTCTCTAGTTGCAAACACGGGTCATGAGTTACCATTGAACACTTTTACTAATTCAATGCTGTGCTGATTTCCTACTTGCCTATCGTGTGTTTAAAATCTGAGGAAAAAGCAGTGATTAGTTATTTAACTTACACATGCTCAGGCAAATAAAACTGGAGACATACAATTCCAAGTCAAAAAAAGCAAACAAGCTTGTAACACTAGGATAGTTTTTATTTGCTCCCTGAATTAAATATTGGCAGATACAGAAAATTCAGATACCAACTATTTCCCCAACATTTACAAGACTGAGTTTGCAATGTCAGAAAACAAGGACATTTATGCACAATCCTGGCAACTGATAGTGTGAGTGCACAAGATGGCCCTGCCTGAACATCAGCTTTTTAGAGGCAGTATCCCTGGTCTCCAGCATCCAATGCTGTCCCCTCACTGACAATTGTGGCACCACGGAACGGCCAAGTAAATATCCTGAGTGGGCAGCTCCAGTGCATTTCCCCCTGCAAAGGATTTATTCCATGCTCCTCCTGAAGGGGCAGAGGCAAGATCAGCACATCCAACAAATAACCCACCTATGAACACAAGCTGATGGTTGTGGCACCTTTTTCACTCTGTTCTCTGAGAGCAGGGGAGAACACAGCACAGTGACACTTCCAAGTAAGCTGTTCTTAAACCTTGCTGCTGCCACACATTGTCTGAGCCAGAGGCACACTCACACTCACTCCCTGCTGCCTGCCGAGCTGCTCTACGGCTGCAGAGCCTCACAGTGGGTTTGCAGCACTTTCCCTGCTGTCTGAGGGAAGTTTTCAAATAAATAAACGGCCATGAAGTAAGCAAGCTTATATAACTGAAATCATGTGGACACACAGACCATGTACTGCTGAAGGAAATACCATTCGCTCCTTTTCACACTGGAGCAGAACTCAGGAACTTGAATTCTCCTCAAAGCAGCTGGTGCAGTCAATGCCCCCAGGGCAAAACACAAAGTGTAGCTGGTGCAGCAGGAGGAGCCAGGCACCTCTGCTCCCTTTTCATAAAAAATATAAAGAAACAGACACTTCTCTAAAACATGTCTGCTAAGCTGGGGGCACAGAAGAACGATCACATGCAGGAAATGGTGATCTGTACAGCCATCCACCATCAAACAACCCTGTGGGGAAGCTGAGCACACATTCCCCCCCAGTTCTACAGCATGGGAAACACATGGTTTAACCAACTCCACTGTGCAATTTGTGTTAGATCCTAGCATGGCAGATGGCAAGAGATTTTCCCTTTTGGAATGATCACAGAAGTGCCTTCTAGGCTGCAAAATGCCTTGGGCATCCTCAGACAACTGCATCTTCTCCAGGCACAAGAACTCCTGAATTCTAGTCCTGCACTCCAGATCCCAATCCACATGCTCTTATTCATCAATCTTGCCAGTGTCTCTTCAGCAGGAGTTCCCTTAGCTCCAGAAGCAACAATGACTCCAAATACCTTAGCTGTATGACCATTCTTCCACAACCCTGATGGTTAGATCTACAGGGGCATAGTATGCATTTGCATCTCCTCTCTCCCTTTTTATTAGTAACAAGGACATCCCAAAAGATA